GGGAGGAGGTGAGCAAAGTCCCCCCAACACCCAGGGAGGACGATAGCCAGGATCAGCCAGCATCCTGAGCGCTCATCTCCAGCTAGCACGTCTGCTGCTCCCTGTCTGCCACCAGGAGCTCACAGGCCAGGTCCCGGCCGAGGTAGCCTGACCCCAAATGGACAACTTCGCGACAGCCTGGGCTCCTGCCACTGCTGGGAGGTACCGGGGTCTGAGGGCTCCAGCTTCCCTCTTCCCCTAAGCTCTCGGGGGCCTCCGGGCTGGGCAGTGGATGCTCCGACTCCATCTCAACACCCTCCGTGTCCTTCTCTCCATACAGCGGGATGGACTCGGTGTCCGTCCCCTTCTCCACGCTCTGCCAGCGCCCAGCCCTGGGGGGCCATCTGCAGGCGGGGAAGCGGGGGCACGCCAGGTTGAAAACCACCTTGTTTCTCAACAGGGAAACCTCCAGCATGTAGTAGATGGCCCAGAAGACCGCGAAGCACCCGAGCAACATCAGCATCTGGGGGAGGGAGAGGAGAAGGAGAAAGCCCCATTAGAAGGCAAAGCCTCCTATCCAAACCCAAGAGCTGATATCGTCTCCCCCGAAGCTGGGTGCCAAGCAGGCAGCCATGCCAGCTGGCTTGAGAGGGGAGAGCCCTAGGGCAGGCCTCGAACAAGCCTGCACTTTCGTATTGGCCACCAAGGCGGAGAGCAGACAGCCTTGCGTTCCCAGAAGGGGCTGCAACCACCCGGGGCAGCTGGCTCCCTGCCTCCAGGGCACCTGGGCTAGCGGATAAGAGGGGTGGGTGGGCTCCGGGACTGGACTTTCTGGTCTCTGGACAGCACTCCCTCGAGCCGGCGAAGGTACGGCCCCTGGGATCTCGCCAGGGAGTCGCGAGCAGAACGACTATCCGGACGGGGCCCACGCGAGCGTGGAAGTGGGAGGAGACACGCAGGCACTGGAAGGCAGAGTGAGCCGAGCGACTATCTGGGAGGAGACATGCAGGCCTACGCAGCCCCAGGCCTTCTGAGGAGACCGCCAGCAGGGGCCAGGCAGGTCAGGCCAATGGGGTGTCCCTGGCCTGTGCCACGTGGCATGGTGTGGGGGGATGGGGCTGAGCCGTGTCCTGCCCCCGACTCACTTTGCACTGGCCAGCGGTTGGGTGTTAAGCGCCAGCTCACTGCGGCCCTGAACAGGAACAGGCCCCGGGTCCTACCGCTGCCCCCGGAGCCACCCAGGCCCCAGTCAGCTTCCCAAAGCAAGGCATGGGGTGTCCCTGGCCTGTGCCACGTGGCATGGTGTGGGGGGATGGGGCTGAGCCGTGTCCTGCCCCCGACTCACTTTGCACTGGCCAGCGGTTGGGTGTTAAGCGCCAGCTCACTGCGGCCCTGAACAGGAACAGGCCCCGGGTCCTACCGCTGCCCCCGGAGCCACCCAGGCCCCAGTCAGCTTCCCAAAGCAAGGCAGGATAC